GGACTACATTATATTTGGAAAAGTGAAAGATGAGAATGAAGATGATATGTCATTTGATTCTGTTGGTGTCATGGATCATTGTATTGGCCAAGGAGGAATACAAAATGTGATATGGTCTGATAAACTATTTGTCAACCACAGTTTTGCTAGCAAAAAAAGTTGGTTAAAAAATTGCGATTGATGGCGGTAATGTTAAGATTTGCATTCAAGGTATACAAGTCAACAAAATTTCTTTTCGTGGCTACATGTTCCGTGAAAGGATGCAAGTGGAAGCTCAGAGCGGGTGTCAAGAATGAAGTAAACCGGTTTTGGGTGACAAAGTATGTAAAAGTTTATACATGTACACTAACGGATCGATTATTGCATCGTAGGAAGTCTACTCCGAATTATATTGGTAGGTTGTTTATTGAGCGCGTCGAAATAATCAATGGAATTACGCCGCAACACATCAAAGATTCAATGAAGAAGATGTTTGGTATGAATTTGGATTATACAACTTCATATAGATAGTTGAGATATGCCCAAAAATTGGTTAGAGAAACAACGGAAGATGGATATGAGAATTTGCCTTCCTATTTGCATTTGATCGATGATATGTCCATATATTTACACCATCTATGTTCATAATTGCATTCCTTTATCATTAGTTTAGCATCATTCTGCATCATACATGAGTCCTTTAGCTCTAGTTTAGCTTAGGTTTGCATCTTAGGGTCTTAGGTTAGTGTTTGTACATATTTTTCTTCTTTTACCCTTTTTCAGGTGCTAACTACGCTAAATTGGAGTTATTTGGCTAATCATAGCCTGGAATAACTGAATGGAGTGCTGAGGAGTGGAAGCAAGGGCGGTTGCAAGGTTCTGGAGTCAACAAAGGAAGCAGAGGAGCAAAGGAGCAGAAACCGGTCATCAATCATTAGGGTTCACAGATAGAACTGTAACAACCTGGAATTAGGAATATGGTTAGAATGTAACTTAGGGAAATTTAAGCAAGATTTAGTAATATTTAATAATAAAGGCTTGGGTTGCAATTCTTGCTACTTGGGGAAATGGGTAACCCAAGTAAAGCCCATAAACGGAAAACGGGCTGCCCAAGGGGGGAAGGCGGCTAGATCGGCCGAAGAAAGGGGAAGAAAACCCTAGTTTTTCCTTGGTGAGGAAGGAAAAAAACGTGGAGGCTAGTGGGCTTGGTCCGTGTAGTAAGGAGGTGGAGAAAATAAGAAAAGTGAATATTCTCTAGGGGAATTTTCGTGGGGTATAAATAGGGAGCTCATATTTTACACACCAAAATTATTCTCTCCTTTCAGAGCCAAAAGGAAACGCTTAGGACGACAGAATCAGAGGAGCTTGAGAAGGAACTCAGCACCCCGGCCCCGCGGTAGAGAAGGTTCACGGTAGAGGTAAGACGCGATCCGTACTTAATCCTTTCTTTCGGTCCTTTATTATTATTGCTTTCATAGGGTGTTTTAGTAGTATGGGTTATAGGCTAGGTAGTGGTCGAGGTAACTCGATCCGGATAAGGGGTCCGGATGTGAGGCTCGACAAGTGTAGGGCAGTGGCCGAGTTCCATTCGTCTACGGTCGAGCACGAGAAGAGTCTCTCGTGGATGGCGAGGGGCTGCGGTACGGGAACGATGAGGGATCGGGTCACGTATCGGCAGGCACTCGGTCTGGTAACGGTAGCACTTACCTGGTAGAGAGAGAGAACATCGGCATGGCCTCGGGGTGCCTCGATGAGAGTCTCGATCTAGACTATGGTGAAGTTTAGGTAGTACATCGGTATGGCCTCGGGGATGCCTCGATGATGCCTCGACAGGTAACTAGCATAAGGTAGCGTGTCACGGTATGGGACGTGCCACATTACTATACGACAGCGAGCCGTGCCACACAAAAGTACCGTATCGCGTCACGATAAGAGATCGTGCCGCATCAGCACAGTACCGTGTCACGGATCGACAGACATCGTACCGCATCTTGAGAGGGCCCGATATGGTTCGGTGACACCTCGACAGCGCCGCAGTGAAGTGGTGGTGTTAGTGGCAATCATGCTGCAGCTCGATAGAGTATCGGGGTGAGCATGGCGACAAGTCTGGAGATGGGCAGCAAGGGCGTATTGGCTGAAACCCATTACATACTCGACATAAGCTGTACCATGGATGGCAGGACTTTGGTAGAGAGACCAAGGCGGCCTTGGTCCATATTACACGAGATCGGAATGACAAGCGAAGACTTGACTAAATGGTGCTGTGGCAGACCATTCGGTCGGACCACGGAAGGTCTGACTATGGACTCGTAGGTGAAGTCATGCAGATAGCTTGATAAGGTCTAG